GAAAGCCTCGTTGTGATGATCGAGCGGGGGTGGGAATCAATTAACTTGCAAAACCAAATTATTGTGATTTTTTTTTCCTCACTTTTGTTGCCAGTGTTGCTGTATTTCTTCAATCGTTGTCTCATGAAAAAATGTAATCACATTTTTACAAAAAATGCGAGGGTCGTACTCACTGTCGGATATTATATCAACCGATCGACAAACAAATGATTAAAAATACATCGTATGACTCTTTTAGGTCTAGCAACAATCGGAATAGCTAAAGCTAGCAAAGCTAACCACTGTGATCTTCCACCACTAGCTTTTTAGCTATTTATAGTTTGTACCCTCTGACCTGCGTAAATTTTTGATGGTTGACATTTTGTTGGGCAGACATTTCGCTGTGCCACAGAATGTTAAAATCCGGTGATGGCAGCAGGCGGGTGAGTCGAAAGCCTTCCGTAAATAAGCTGACTGGAAGATGAGGTGAAGAAAAAAAAAAAAAAAACGTGATTAGCGATTAGCTAATCAGCTAATCATGATACAACTTTAGTACTACTACTACTACTACTATTACGACTAAGGGATTAATATATTGGTGGTTTTCTTCTTCTTCTTTAAAAAAAAAAAATTCAACATGACCTTAAAATTTTCAAGGTTACTTTCTGTGCCTTCCATCATAGTGCAATGAATATCTATTTTATTGTCCGGTTTCTGCTTTGAACATTTAGGAATTCATTTTCCAAAGAGGTTGAGACTTGGTTTGTCTCCATTCTTGGATGAGCTTCATCCCACCCTTGTCATTAGTGCCTTAATGACATCGTGTTGACAGCACACAAACTTGTTATTAAGTGTGCAGCGACACACAGCATATTCCGCCGCATCAAGACGGAACCATGATCACGATCCATCACTTGATCAATATGTTCTCTCTCTCCGTCCATTTAATGCCGCATATTTCTTTTTAAAATCTGCTTTTCCTGTCTTCCGGCCATCTGAAAGAGAAAGAAAGACCACACTAAATTATGGATATGCGTTAAAAAGGGATTTTGCTGGTCCCTCCTCGCTCTCCCTCTGCCCTTAGCCTCGTTTTAAATCGATACCGGCTGACTGTCACGGGTCACTGCCCTGTATACATGAGGTCAGACGCCAACAGAGTAGCGTTGTCTCTCCCAGAGCTCTATGCCGAGGTGATAACTCGTCTCTATCTCCGAGTCCTCCTTAAAGGACACCCAACCCCTTTCAATTCAACTCCAATATCCGCCTCAGATTGACTTGGAATGGGATTTCAGCCTCACTTGTTCAGTCGGCCGCCTAAGTGGTCGTTTATATACGCTGTAAAATCCGTTTTACTGCACCGAACGTGCTCGACGAATTAGCATTTGCTCTGGAGCTAGTCTGGTTTTATGATAATTAAAAAAAATGCTCCTGGCCTACGGAAAATCTGCAAAAATCGTCTTTTTGGGTGGGCCGGTTAACTTCATTAGCTTTGTTATCATGTGTTAATGTGTAAATAGATAAAAATGAGGAAATATCGTCCGATTAAATCGGCCAGCCGATTAATCGTCGAACTCTGGCATTTTGATCGACATGCAGTTATCTGTACATAAGTATTTATTTTTATGACAACTTTTTATTTACACTCTTTCCACTTGAAAATAGACATCTGTTTTTTCTCCTCCTCGATTGAGATCTCGTCGGAATTTAGCTTGCGGGAAAGCTGTGTCAGATTTTTTTTTTCCCCTCTTTCAGCACGAGGCTTAAGTTAAAAAAAAAGAGGCAACTATTTAGTGTTTATTTTCTCCCCATTAGCCAAGTTATCAAACTGAGCATTGTACACTGTGTATAAATGATGGTTAAAATGCAACATAGAAGATCTTCACTTATAAGATGCAATAATGTTTATTTGTTTTTTTTAAAGATAAAGAATATATGCCTGTCTGCTTGTGTTCCTATGGGTGGTGTTCAAATATAAGTTGTTTTAACATTTTTAGATGTAGCCCAACAACGATGCTATTTTCATTCGCCCTTGTTTTGCATTTCATGCTAGTATGAAGCTCGAGGACTCGTAAATCGCACAACGTTGAAGTTCAGGCCCGATATTCCTGACACAACTATCTGTAATTCGACCAAGTAGAGCCTCGTGAGTAGTTTAGCCACCTGTCTCCGTGTTAGTTTCAAATCAGTAAATTTCACAGATGTCCGCCCGACTGTTGCCAGTGGCGTCCTCACACCAGATCCCCGTGTTAAGGCAACGCGTGAGTGGAGGATTACTGAGCATTATTGCGGAGAAAACAACAGTCCGTCCACTAAGCCGCCAGGCAACCGCAGATGCGGGCGAGCGTGAACGTTGTGAGAGGTGTTACATTAGCACCTGGATGTGCGAACGGCACACTCCTGACCTTTTAGCGGCGTCCGATCCACTACCTAGGAAAATCTGCGCTCCTTCCGTGAAATCCTCTACTCCTTCTTTCAACAATTCCCACTATCTCACTTTGTAAACCAACATTTCCTGTCATTTGCGGCCATTTGTCTTCCGCAGCTTCTTATTAAGGAGCCCTCTTAGGAGCCATCGCCTGCCGCAGAAATTCTCCCTTTTAATGACTGTTCATGATGAAAATAAACTTTTTTTCCCCCCCAACGATTGCACTTGCAACTCTCTAATGAAATGACCACTCCTCAAGTAATGAAAACAAAATGACTGACTGGTCCCTCTTCTTTTGATGTAGTGTGTATGATATAAATAATCTGGGGTGTGCGAACCCCTTTAAAACAACCCTTTTCTCTTACGACACTGCTCGTACACCCATGTATTCAGTCAGGAAATACATGTAGAACTCACATTAGGATTGGATGCCGTGTTTAGCTGAGCATAGTCTTTTGCCGCACTTTTTTGTGACCACAAAATACTAATTTGTCATCAAAAGATGCAACTTTGTCATCGGTAAATAATAAAGCGTATTTTTGTATTTTTCAATACAACAGACTCTCGTGTTTAGCCATGCAAATCTAATGAAAAGTTTCAGTCAAGTTTCTTGATAGTGTGAAAAAGGGGTAGTGTAAATTAACTGTATTATTCTATTAAACAAAAAATATATTTTTCTGACATTGTGAAAAAGAAAAATTGCATTTGCGCCGGAGTGGATGAACAGTGTAAATGGGTAATTATTCTACCAGACTGCATTCCGTTGTTAGTCTGGCATACCCCTTTGGCAATCCCTGGCTTTCGAGTAGCTGCTACAAATCCTTGTGCCTTGAACACGGGTGACGTGGGCAACTTTCTTGAAGTCACCTGCCAGGGGCCCCTAATTACACTGATAAGCAGGGTAAGTGGAATCAGATCTTGGCTGTAATCAGCCCCGCGGAGCCCTGACAGACGGCTAAATGAGGAGTAGATGAGCCGTGGCAGCCCAACAGGTGTCCTGAAAAAAATAAATAAATAAATAAAATAGGAGTCTCGCTTCTACGCTCTTGTCAAAAAAAATAACAGTCAAAATGTGCATTTTATTCTCTCTTGTTTTTCCTTGCCTTGTTTTCTGGTCCTGCTGTGATGATTATTGGCTTTTTATGGTGCCGCTGACATGACATGGGGAAAGAAATTATTGTGGCCACAAGATCCGTATCATCTGTGCGTGAAAGGTTCATTCGTGGCCACTGAATACTCTTTGATGGCCGCAAAATACTAATTGGTCATCGCAAAATTCTAAATAGGTGATCGCAAATGACTGACTTGTGATCATGGAGCACTTATTTGGGTCACATAATCTTAAAATGTCAAGACAAACTACATGTAAGGTACACACAAAATGCTTATTGGTGATCACGTATACTCATTTGCTGCCATGAAATGGGTAGACTGTGTACTTGAAATACAATTTGGAACCACAAAATATTCCTTTTTGATCACAAAAGCCAAATTTGCGATCACAAAATACAATAAATGAACAAAAAAACGAATTTGATGTCACGAAATATGTGCAACTTTTTAACCACCAAATACTAAATTGTGGTCACTAACACTAGTTTGTGATCACAAAATACTATTTTGTAGTCATTAAATAGGTATAAGGCACAGATATCAAACCCAGGGCCCGTGGGCCAGATCTGGCCCGCCACATCATTTTATGTGGCCCTCGAAAACAAATCAAATTTCATGATGCTTGCTAAGATCTGAACCAAAATTTTAAATTGTCATATGTAATAAATAAGAGAGATGTTGGAAGCATTTTATTGTTACCAAACCCCTCATAACAGTAACTGAAATAATAGGTGAATAAACTGTTATTCTTGACTTCCTTAAACTGTTTCCGTCTTACGGCCCTCCAAGGGAAACTGTAACTAAAATCAGGCCCGCGACAAAAATTTAGTTTGACACCCCCGGTATAAGGTCTCTACAAAATACTGATTTGTGGGTACCAAATACCAATTTTTGATCATGAAATACTACGTACTGGCCACAAAATAGTTACAAGGTGCAAAATAGATGCAAGGTGTGCACAAAACACTTATTTGCAGCTATAAAATATTTTGTGCACACCAATTATAATACGGCTCTCAGGTCAGGGGTGTCAAACTCATTTTTGTCGCGGGCCACATTTCAGTTACAGTTTCCCTTTGGAGGGCCATTATGACTGACATCATATAAGGAAGTTAAGAATCACATTTAAGTTACTGTAATGAGGTGTCTGGCAACAAGAAAATGCTTACCATGTCTCTCTTATTTATTACACATGAGAATTTTTGGTACATATTTTAGCAAGCATCATGGAAGTTGCCATGTTTAATGGCACATAAAATGATGTGGTGGGCCAGTTCTGGCCCCCGGGCCTTGACTTTGACACCCGTGCTTTAGGTGAAAACAATCCCCATGTCAATTTGTTCCTGGGGAAAAAAAAAGGAGGAGCACGAAATAATATCAGTCCTAATCACATCTCTGACAGGAAATGTCATGTTTGTCATGCTGACAGCTGAGCGAGGCGGTTGTGTTGCGTCTTCTTTTTACACCCACCACCACTTCGCAGCCGCAGATGCAGATGACGAGCACTGCGGGCTGACGCGCCGCCCGGATGCTCGGCGACGATGCGCTGAGAGACGGTTCAGGTTACTTCACGTGGCGGAGGAGGTTTTCTGAGCTTTTTGGTTGGCAGCTGACGGCAAAACGAGCAGGCGTCACCTCTAAAATAGCCTTGGACCAGAAATTGCTGCGAAAACAAGCAAAGAAATTTACACTGCAGGTGCAAGTACCCAATTCTGATTTCATGCCTCATTTCCATTGACATTTCAAGTGACACCAACCTCACTGTGCTTACAGGTGCTCTTTCTGTAAATGCCATTTAAAAAAAAAAAAAGCCCTGACTAATGGGAAAGTAGTAATTTTTGTTGAAGTGATCGTTTTAGATGGCAGAGAAGTTCATGTCACGTTCATGTTTTCGTAAGAAACATGAGGAAGGCTACGTCCTGAATAGATTTGTCGGTGCCCCCTACTGGCAGAAATGTCATTATTTCCTTTTGGATTTTTTTTTTTTTCTTAGCTTTGGGATCAAGAAATAGAACATCCAGAATCTTTCAACACCCTGTCTACATCAAGTTATCAAACGTTATGTGATAATTGTCATAACCCCTGCAGACGCCCCCATGGCCCCCTCTCTCCCGTACTGCTGACTTGAGTGATGGTGTCTGTGATTGCTAATGACAGTCGGAACAAATTTTCAGTAATGAGGTCGCATGGGTTGTCCTCCCACCCCCTCCCACTCCCCGCGCCTCCTTTCTTGAGAAAAAAAAAAAAAAAAGGATCAAGAAATCTTTTTTGAAATGACCCTTCACACCGCTGTCTGTACAGTCAAGCTGTTCCTGAAAAACAAGTCAGCTAGCTGGCGAGGAACGGATCAATTGCTTCCTCTGCGAGACCTCCCTGCAGCCAAACTGGAAGCCTTGTCTGTTTTTTTTTTTTTTTTTTTTTAATCATTATTTTTGTACTATCGCCTGACTCACTGGGGCTCGTATCCTGCCCTCCTGTCCGTGTTAACACGAGCTCGATTCATCTCCAACCTTGGCGTAGGTGTACAAAAAAAAAAAGAACAAAATAAACCGTTTTTAACTGTACAGGCTATGTCTTAACATTTATATATACCCCCAAAACAAGTCAAAACGAGAAATATCTAATTGATGGAGGTGTTTATTTAAGTAATTCAGGCACAGGCTCACAGGCACAGGCTACAAAAAACAGTTTGCGCACCTACGCACCCCTCTACTCACCTTTCCAAAAAGGGAAATGTCAGTTTCCGGGAGGTTTTTATTTTAATTAATTATGAAAAATTTGGAAACGATAAAGCAGTCAATCAATCCCGCGCACAACTCAACTCTTTATTTCACCAATTATAAGCTGTGCACCCCCTTAAACAGAGTTCGAGCACTTCATGTACCCTGCACGTCCTAAAACAAAAGTCAAAACGGAAATGTCTCTTTGAGAGAGGTGTTTATTTACCTAATTACGGTACCGGATCTATTCGAGCAGTCGTTCCCAAACTTTTTAAACCACACACTACCTTCAAAAGAGTGTCCTTCTACGACGTGTAGTCAAAAAAAAAAAAGTGAGGTGTCTATTTAATGGAGGTGTTTATTCATCTAGTCATGGCACATTCCCCAAACACAAGCTCTGCATCCCATTCAACAAAGTGTGTGTGTGCATATGTGTGTGTGTGAGAGAGAGAGAGAGAGAAACCTCGTTCATACATCATTCTAATGATGTGTGCCTCTCCCGGCTTGAGCAGGATGTTTGCACCAACACGCCGTCAGCGCGGCCCATTGAATTGTCGAGAGTGAATTGTGGATGAAAAGCGCGTTTGTGCCCGTGTGCGTACGTGCGAACATGTCCACTGTCAGCGGTGTGCCTCTTGCTCACCCGTGCATCAGTACGCGCACCGCCTATGTATGCGCTCAGTGATGTGGTTAGTAATGCGGAGACTAGCAGGAGATGGTCCGTGGAGAGAGCCCGCAGGATAATTGCCGCCACCACTGACAGGTAGGGCTGCCTCTGTCATAGTTGCCTCAGTGGGGAAGTAGTGGTGTGGGTGTGTGTGCCGGTGCGTGTGTGCGCATCACCATCCTTTCCTCCAATAAGCATTTCCCCCCCGAGTAGGCTCTCTTCAGACGCTAGCCGACATCCCAAAATGTTCATCCGCTGTCACTCATCGGCACGTTTTAAGATGTCAGTTTTAACCACAAGACACAAAGCCGAGTGATAAATTATTTTTTTTTTTGAAGCAAGCTTTTGCGTGTTTTAATGTTATCACGCATACAAAGCGTCCCTAATGAGACGAGCGCAATTTCAGGTCACAGTGGCCCAGTGGTGTGTTCGGTGTTTGCTCAGCTGCAGATGGTGAATTTTTATTTGGTCTATGTCAGATTTTCATGTGTCGCAACAAATTTGCAGCATCCAAATCAGCAAAGGCCCGATTGTTGATTGTCACTTGGGTGCTTATCCTGTGGTGTGGCGTGTGTTAAGACAATCATAAATATTAAACTAGTTTGGTGTTTTGGGCCGTTCCACCAAATTGATTCCATTTGCTTGTTGGCATGCTCTCAAAATGAAGTTTGTTTTCTTTTTCTACTGTAAATCTGATAAAAGACATTTTGAGCAACAGAAATTTTGTATTGGCCCATCTCAGGCAGCTTCATTTATTGTCATTGTATGCATGTTGAAACTAAGTGCATGACAGTGATTCAAAAAAAAAAAAAATGAACCGATAAAAATCAGGGCCAAATCTCTTCAACGCGAACCCATTTTAATCAGCCGATATTAGCTTTTCATTTTAGATTTTTGCCGAGAAATGGTTGCTTGTGAGCTGCGATTAGCTAGCAACCAGTTGAGGATGTACCCACCTACTGCCATTTGGGATCAGCCATAGCCATAGTTTGCCACTTTGAACCCATGCCACATTTTTCTCATTGTGTGTGTGGTTTCTGAAATTTAACCCTTTCAGGGACAGCGGTTACCCCAGTGGACAGCTGATCATGTTATCAAGTTACAGGGTGTATGAAAGGGTTCAAAAGCGATTCAGGTGTTAAAAGTTAGGACGGCGCACTTTGTTTCTCTTCAGAAACTCATTCTTCACTGCCATCTGATCATTTGTGAAAGATTGTCATTGATTGACATGCAATGGGGCTTTCTGCCACATCTGGAGGTGGCGGCAAAACAGGAGTCATTGGCTGGCGCCGCCGCTCTTGCCGCCGTCGTCCGTGACGAATTGGTGTCAGTGCCTATCAAAGCCAAAATGCCCATTCTGCACCCAGTGTCAGAACAGCCACAATCTATTTAGCAAGCAGCCAGCCGAGAAACTAATATTGTGTGTGTGTGTGTGTGTGTGTGTGTGTGTGTGTGTGTGTGTGTGTGTGTGTGTGTGTGTGTGTGTGTGTGTGTATACGCGTGCGTGCGTGTGTGTGCATATACAGGACCATATTTACGCAAAGAGTGGGAATACTCAACGGTAGATGAGCTCTTTATTTGCACACTCCAGGAATGCAGTCTTTCTCAAACCTTTTAAGCCACCTCCCTTCCCCACACGACAGGGTTGCCCCCCCGCACCCCAAAGGAGGTATCTACAGTATTGTGAGGGAGGAATATTAAGCACATTGGGCAAGAGGTCAGTATGAACAGTCGCTCAGAAACTTTTTAAGCCGTGCACCCCCTTCAACAGATATATGGCGCACCCCCCAAAAAGAATAAAAGGGGGGCTTTTTCATGATCTAAATGAGGCACTGTGTCTTTTAGAGCAGGCTTTGCCAAAGTCACGCACCCCCTTCGAAGTGAGGGATTGGTGCACCCCCCCGTCTTCTGACAACATCAAAAATCTGTAAAAAGGGAGGCATTTTCAAATTGACTGAAGTGTGATCTCTTAGAGCTGTCTGTCCCAAAACCTTTAAGCCGCACACCCCCTCTGACAAAGTTGGCGCACCCCCCACCCCCCTTCCCCTGCTCATGTCTAAATACAGTAAAAATAAAATAAACAAACAAAAGACTGTTTATGGAAATATAGCTAACAAGCCATAGAAATGCATTATTTTACAAATACCATCTGTTCTATTTTTAATCTCATCCACCCCCAGGGGTGCGCCGACCGCATTTTGCCATTACCTTTATTAGAAGCACGGCGACTGTTTGAGATATGTGCAGCAGTGGCAAGGACTTGTGAAGGTTTATTATTGAGCTATCTTCCAAAAAAGCCCAGTGAGTAAGAAAAAGGAAGGGCGGGTATGCAATTATAAAAGTGTCATGTGGGTTCCGTTTGAATGAGGAAGGAGCCCGGAATATGTTTGGTATCAGACGCAGAGTCTTTGGCGGACCCTCGCATTCTAATTACGCCACTGCCGCCATTACTGAGCCCAAACCAGGGCCACCGCCGCACTCTATTACCTTCGACATCATTTGTAATTGTCAGTCCTAATTTATTAATTTTTTTAAAATATTGCACTCATATTGCAAAGCCACTGTTTGCGTTGATTTTAGGCTTGTTGATGCGAGAATCCTGCCGTCTTATTCGCATGAAGCCATCGGTCGTGTTGGATAAACAGTGAAGCGGTCAGCCTTGTGTACATCAGAAATACAACTAAAAACTAATAAACCTGCTCTAAAAGCGAAATAAAACAAGCTGGAAAAAAAATGTCAGTCAAAACTAAATAGAAACGAATGATAATGGAGAATCTAAATCAATTATAACCCCGGCTGCCGAACATAAACGTCAGTGGTAATTTTATTGTATTTGGTTCTGCTATCACTTCTTGATTTATTTTCGGCATTAATACTGTAAAAATATGCTGGCGGGGGGCAGTGTGGGGGTGGAGGGCAGTGGCAGAACACATGCAAATAAGGCCCATAAAAATGACAGCCACATCTGCTGCGATGTACAAGTATCGTCGTGTACAAGTCACATCTGGGGGCCAGGGAAGGCAGTGAGGGGGGTCCTGGATAATGTGTGATTTATCGTACGCTGCCGCTCGGTGTGTCTTCATACTCCGAGCCCGGTAGTCACAT